ATCATATTGCCAAGATCAAGGCTATACGACTACTAAAGCTGTTGTTATAGCGACAGACATTTGTCAGTCGTTAGCTATACACACACACACACACACACATAAGTATTCATATATATATATATTTATGAGTGTGTGTGTGTGTGTGCTGTTCCATACTGCGCCAGACAGATCGTCGAACGTGCAAAGCTTCTGAAAACTGGCTCAGGAGAGAATTATGTATGTAGTATTTTGCCATTTAAATGTTTTGGGATTTATGGTAATGTTTTATATATATATTTATATAATATGCATGTTTTATATACAACAAATTTATGTGCATATACGAAAACGTTTGGCATTTGAGCAATATACTTGCTCATAATTTTCTGGTCTACTTTGGAACCGAATAGTATATAGAAATATCAGGCATTTTACATTTGTCACTTGTCGCTGATAAAATAACAAAGAAATACTGTGATTTCCAGTAGATTATATAGATAATATACATATATATAATTAGGTAAGTTAATCATCTCTGTTAGTTAGCTGAGCGGCCTATTAATAGAACTGAGTATTGAGGGTCTTGGCTCGAATCCCTTTCTAGATATAGAGCCAAGGACCTCAGCAGACTATGTCTGAATAAATGTATTACTCATAACTGTTATAATAGAGATAATATTTTCACAAAAATCGCTTTTAACCACGACTGTAATCCAGTTTGTGATCGAATACGTATGCCAAGTTCATCAAATACTGATCAAGGTTACATTTGCCGAGTGGTGGGAGTGTACGTCATATTGAGTTTCTTATAAAGTCTTATCGATTCGCGATCGATCCACATTCGATCGGCCCATCAACATTGATTAGCAGTGAATTTATTGGTTTATTTTATGCTTGATTTTCGCTATGAATTTTGATTAATTTCTTGAGGAAGTCATTGATATCTTAGCCCCATAGCGAAGTCCACGCTCAACAGCTTCGCAGTTGTCATTGGGCGTTGCGAATTAAAACGGAATTAAAAATAAGTATAAACAAACGAGCAAGGGCTGTGCCTCTGTGGCATATCTCGGAAGTGGATTTAGTTTATTCACGTCTAACGGTGTTTCATGCATTAAATACAGCTACGATTTTGAATGAGTATGCGTATCTGAAGGAAAACTGGTTTCGATTTGTGGACCCTGACTTTGAATCTGTAAATGTATCTGTATCTCCATCTGTTTCTGTTTCTGTAAATGTTTTTGTGTCTGCACTGTATTTTTATCTGTAGTTGTGTCTTAATTCGTAACTGAATGTGTAAATGTATCTTTATCTTTTTCAGTATCTTTATCTATTTAACTCTGTATCTATATCCTTACCTGTATCTGTGTATCTGCATATTTGGTTCTGTATTTGCAGCTGTATCTGTGCCTGTGCAATATATGAATTTGTATCTGTATCTGCAACATCTGCATATGTATCTGTATCTGTATGTGTGTTTCTGTATCTGTTTATCTGTATCTGTAAAAGCATCAACATCTTTATCGGTATCTGTATCTATATCTCCATCTGTATCTCTATCTTTATCTGTCTCCGGTAGTGTACAATGTATCTGTTAATCTCTATATGCGGGCGAGTGCCAAACTTGTAAGTGCTGCTACCATTCGGTTTAGTTTTTCAATTTGTTTGCACCTCTATTTATTCCATTGTCTATTTGAACTTGTGTTTGCTGGCTGTTCAAGTTCAAAGCCCAACCCAAAGATCAGCTAAGCTCAGCTCTCGGCTCTTTGGATTGCTTCGCCCTCGGCGACTAAATGTATAGTTAGCTAAGGTCAGTCCGCGGCGTTGAAATTGTTTCGACTGTTTGGCGACGCCCAGATCCAAATATTGACGCTGACGCTCTAAATAGCCGACAGAGCTGAGCGTAGTGCGGAAAAACCTTCACTGCAAGCTATGTATCTCATCGCTTGCTGCTGTTTGTGTAGCCGTCGACACCTTGACTTCAATTCAACGGCTCTTAAGCAGAGGAGCTGCCGCGGAGTTCGCTTGGCAACCAAAACTTGACCTAATTTCGAGCGTGGAAAATATGCCGCATGGCCTGTCGTTGTTGTAAGTTTGGAGTTGCTTGTGTGTTGTTGTTGTTGTAAGTCTGTTGTCTGGCACAAATTTAGCCATAATAATATTTGGCTGCCGCTCCGGCCCCTGACCCTGAGTGGATTTGGGGCTCCTGTCGCCGCGATGGTGGTCTGCGGTCGGGTCGCCAGTGACTCAGAGATCTTTATTGTTGTTGGGTTTTAATACGCTGCCCAAGGCGGCTCACGTTTCAGCTCATTTCCTGTTTAGCTTTGGCCCATGCAGACCCAGACCGAGACCCCAGGCAGCGAACGGGCAGATCAAGATCAACAAACTGTGCGTTTGCTCGCTTTTGTAAACTTTTGTAAACATGCGTTGACAACTCTCGTTTCTCGCTGAAGTTCTTATAAACAGCGACCTGGCAAGTGTCCGATAAGGGATCAAAATTGCGCCAAGTTTAAAAATATACAAGTAGCTGCAATAACAAACAATATAGCTCTCTCCGGGAATCCGGCGGTTAATGGACACCGCGTAGCTCCAGCAGATTTACATAGCTGTCTTTGTTTCTCCCCATTCTATGTATGTGTATTAATAAGCTCTGGAAATGAGTTCAATGGCTCGTTGCGGCCTGACATTGCGTTTTTTTTTTTGTTTTGATACGATTACGCCCACATTCCAATTGAGATTGTCACTGAGCCGCCATATGGTAATATAAGGGCATTGCCAAGCACAATTACAAAGACAACCTCCCTTCCCCCAACCCATGGATAATTGCCCATATTATATGTCCTGAGATTCTGGTAGGTGACGTGCCCGGCATCAAAATAAACTGCAAACATTTGCATAATTCACAAAAGAGTCTCCGTAAATCACACCCAGAAATGCGAAGCGCTGGCACCAAAGAAGAAGCCTCTGCAGGCGATGAAGAATTGCGAATTTTGCTTTTCAAAATATGCGAATATTTATGTCAAGGCTAAGGCATAAAAACAGACAGTGAAAAAGAACGAAAGTGTGCATTAACAAAATGCAGCCTAAGTTAAATAAGAAAGAACAGAGATTTTTATGAGAATGAAGGGGATTATTTGTAAGAGTTGGGCGAAAAGTTTTCGAGTTGGGCTTTACACGTTTTCACAACTAGCTTAAGTTAATATATAGATAAGGAATCAGAAGAGTTTTCGAAGTTTTGATTGTGACGTTATTTATTATTTGAAAGAGATGAACGTTATTGCGAATGAAGTTATTAAGTAATTTGAATGGATTATCAGGAGATTTATCAGGAGTTCAAGTCAAATATTTCCCTGAACGAAATAAACAGTCAAAAATGTGGAGATTAATTATTTATATGTAATTATAGTAAATGAATGAGTAATGATGATGATAGACTTTTATATATAGATACAGATAAAGATACAGACACAGGTATAGATATAAATACAAATACGGATACAGATACAGAAATATATACAGATATTTTTACAGATGCATTTACAGATACGTTTACGGATACGTTTACACATACAGATATATATATATAGACACATATAAAGATTTTTGTATCAGCAGATACAGATACAGATAGGGATACACACACAGAAGTAGAAACATATATATATATATAGATACTGCCACATAAACGGATACATTTACAGTTACAGATAAAGATACAGATATACATATATGCAGATACTTTTACAGATACATTTACAGATATATTTACAGATACGTTAACATAAACAGATATATGTAGATATAAACTGATTTCAAGGAATAACTAATTAATTGACTTTGATAGTAAACAACAAACAATTAAAAAACCAATTTATTTGTTCATCAAATAAGTATCAAAATGTTAGTTTCGATTGGCCTCCTAAGTCTCGATGTGCCAGTTGTACTTGCAAATCAAAAATATGTTTTCATATGGTTAGGCATCCGGTGAGCCCACACAAAGCCAGCGCTGACCACACAAAACTCATCAAGAGTATTAATGCAGCCAAGGACAACTTGATTGAGCAGAGTCGACGCTGGCAAGAGATCGTCGCCGGGTCGCATCGCCAACATATTTCCGGCGTCAATATTCGGTTTTTGTCTTTTGTCTTGCACACTGCACTTATTAGCTGCTTCCTTTGCAGAAATGCAGACAAAGAGCCAGCTGCAGACCCTGAACTTTGTCGCCTCGGCTCGCCTCGAGTGCAGAGTCAGTGGAGCTTGTGAGATTCCCAGATTGAGGTTCCAATGCCAATTTCAATTCTCTGTGCCCGGCCGGCCACTTGCAGCGTGCTTGAGTTTTGCAGTAGCCTGCGCTTCGCCTTGAATTGAGTGACTGAACCAACATGATTAAACGCATTTCCTGCCCCCTCACCCCCTCACCTCACACCACCTCAACCTCAACCCCATGCCGCAGCCCTTGCCTTCGTATCGTGGTCTGCATAATGCTCCTAATGCATAAAGCGCACAAGGACCCGGGCTTCTCGGCACCCTTGAACCGCACACTGACCGCTTAATTAGGGCGTGTAAGCACTTCTTTCCGACATGGTCGCCATTCTGCTTTGTATGCGTCACTCGTCACTCGCCGTCGTCAACCCCTCGCAACCCCTAAAGTAAGTACAATGCCCAGCCGTCTGATCGGCCGCTCGGTCGCTGAGGTTCTCGGTCTATGGCCTGCCACGCGCGTCAACATTTTTAATTGTGCGCTGCATATCATTTGATATTAAATAAATAAATACATACATATATATATATATATATATACACACTCATATATTAAGCCCATGTGACGTACAATGGAGCTCTGGAGCCGTGCACGTTCCCGTATATAAACAAGTGCGTGTTATCAAATATTTAATACCCTTGTAGACGTAATCACATTATAGAATATAGTAATTCGATTATTAAAAAACGCTTTCACAGATTTTAGAGCATTTGCATAGGCCTAATTATAAAATTTATAAGCGTCTACTTTTTGATCTTTTCAGCTTTTTTTGCCATCTATATTACACAGACAAAAGCTTAGATGGGACCACTTTCTGGCTAATTATTCCTTGAGAGCATCTTATTGTGACCATTTGTATGAATCTTGCTTGGAGTGAGGAGTTTGGTAAGTAAACTATCTTAAATCAAGCAATCCGAGTGGTTTCAAGTGTTTATAATGCAATTGCTAAGGAAATTGCTTGTGTAGTCGCGCTTTGAACCAGCGATATCTTTCTTACTGATTCGACGTTCAGAGACATAGGCCAAGGTTGGCGCAACGTTTTCCCCAATTTGAAATTGTAACTAATCAAAACCTGGCTCACGTTTTACCCAAAGCGAAGCTTACGTAAAAATGAAACCATTCGAGGCCCGTACCGCTTAGGCTGGTCGTAGATTACTAAACAGTCAGGACAAACTCTTCAAACGCTTTGTCTAAAAAAAAACATATAGGTCAAGTTTCGTTAATGTTGAAATCATGTGGCTGACAACAGCAACACAACCTGAACAAGAAGTAGTATATTTTAACACAAGAATGGACATTATAAGAAACTCACAATACCCTATGCAAGGGTATAGAAAATCAGTTCTGTTGACTTTTGTGCGTTGTCGATTAATTTTTTTGCCCTGTTGCACTTACGCGATGATTAAACGGCGGGGAATGTCCAAAGTTGGCTCATTGTTCGAGAACTGTTGTAGCTCTGCCTGGCATTATATGCGAATTTTGTTTTATCGTAATTTCTATAAAAAGACCATGCACAAATCCATGGGTAAGGTTGCATTTGGGCGAATCCAATTATCTCATTTCAAGTGTCCCTTTCACTGCTGCTGGCTGACAGCTGAGATCCTTCGTGTAGGTGTAGAGGTGGGTGAGTGGGCGCCGCCCAACTAATTTGATTCAGTCTTATTACGACAACAAAGCCACGACCGTGCACTTGACCCTCAACAATTTGCGTCAATGTCAATGCGACAATCGCCCCAACGGAAAATGGTTGAGCAAGAGGTTCGGGTTAGGTAATTACTGTGCATGTTGCGGCTGCTGTTGCCACTGCGCTAACAGTTGTGACTGCAGCAACGACCTTGAACGAGGCTGGGCAAAAACCCGCACACCCTTAAACGAATGACCTTTCGAATGCAACGAACGGCTCAATGCATCCATCTCGCTCGCCCGCTCGCTCACTTGTTACTAAAAATAAGCTCTGCGTGAAAAGCTCATGCTGAAGGTCAAAAACCCACACAGCAGCACTGGCATTAGCGCCACTCAATGAGCCACATGCAACTGCCGCGTGCGCAAGTTCAAGCGCAAGGGTTGCCATTGCACCCGAGCAGCCAACGCAGCCATTGCAGCCATTGGAGCTCACGCGGCATTGGCCTTGTTGCACGCCCCTTCGCATTGACGTACTGACCCTGGCCGTGAACGTGGCTATAGTCCCAGAGTGGGTGTGCCCAGAGCCGGGCCAAAGTAGCCGCCCGGCTTCCTTGACATTTTCATAAAATTTGATGTGGCCGGCCGGCCGGCCGGTCTCTCGGTCGGTCGGTCGGTCGACTAATGCCCGTTTTGTTATGGTCCTCACGGCCAAACTATATTCCATTGACAGGCTTGGTGCTTGACCATTTATAGCGTCCTCTCCAGTTTGAACTTTAGCAATTTATTTGCTTCTATCATTCATTGAAACTTGAGTTTGTTTTGTGTGGAATTGCGTCAAAGCTGTGGCTAAACATAGCTGAGAGCTGCTACCTGAACGGAAAAATTAACTGGCAAACTATTTTTCTTTCGCTTTGAATGCCAGCTGAATTCATGTTTAATTTCCACTTCTTATCCTCTTGTCAACTAACTGGACGACTATTTTTCTTTCGCCTTGAATGCTAATTGAACTCAAGTTTAATTGTTACTTCTAATTCTCTTATCAACTTCACTTTATTCTATTTTCATAAATACAAATGGCATTTTTGGCCTTCCGAACCCGAATTTAATAAATATGGTGACAATTGGTTAATGCATCACAAATCTACTGTATGCACGCTGTAATTTCTTTTTTTAATTCACAAGTTAAAGCTACAAAAGGGCGACAAGGCATTTGCATTGCAAGATGATAGAACCGAGTGATTCTTAACATATATATCATTGTTTGTCATTGTTTGTTGCTTAATATGTTCATATAAAACATGTTTAACGCTGGCTAGTTATTTGGCAGTTATTTTCTAACACCTCGATGTATGAAGAACTTCTCTGCTCAAGCAGAAAATCTCATAAGGCTGTCCTACTGCCCTACCTCTCCGAAAGGTTGATAAGTTAATAAAACAAACTTCAACGACGATACGTGGCTCAATGCAGCTTTGTTGGCTGTCGACTTGGTGATAATAAGCCACCTGAAAGTATCGTCCTTTTGTTGACCTTTAACGAATATACGGTTCGGCAATTTTGCGCGTGGGCTAACAGCCTCCAATTTCAAAGGGCGGCTGAGAAGAGAAAGAGGGGCAGAGCGAGCGAGAGGAAGTGGTTGGGAGGGAGCATGGAAAAGCGAAGAATCATTTAAAAATCAAATCAAAGTCACGCGCCGCAATGTAATCAACAGTCGGCCCGTGTTTAGTGGGGCGGGAAGGGGGGCAATGACAGTGACAAGCAGCAGGCAGTAGGCATGTGGCATGTGGCATATAGAAGCTCAAGGCTGCCGTGCTGCAGGTGTAGCAGAAAGGACCGGGTCCAGCCAAACAACAGGCAGCTCCATGTGACGCTAAGTATGAATAGAATAAATAGAGGCAGGGAGAGGGAGAGGGAGAGAGAGAGAGGGCGAAAGCTTCTGCTTCCCAGTCACAAGGCATGGCCACGAGTGGGCTAAGCACGGTGCGGTGCATGTGAGGGCATGTGAGGGGTGGGCATTGGCAGTGTCAGCGCAAGAAATCCTTCAGCTTTAACCTTGAACTTCACCGTTGCTAAGGCAACTCGAGGTGGCAGCTCTCTGCCGCTGTTGCCAGCCGTGCTGTCTCTTTCGCACTGTGCTTTTACGTTAACCTTGTCGCGTTCTGTAGTGACCGAGTCCTTGAATGTGTGTGCGCCTACGCGCTGGCTATGGAAATTTTCGCCTGCTTCTTGTCGCCGTCTCGCTCGCGCCGCCAAGTTGAAGGGCATTTAACGTTGATTGACGCTAAATAATAACGGCATTTTGTTAAGCCTTGGGGTAAGTACCCCTAAAAAGCTCTCTCTCACTCTCTGTCTCTCTCTTTCTGTCTCTCGCAAAGCTTTCGCCTCAGTAGGGGAGTGTCTTATGCTCTGCAGCTCGAAAGCTTTGTCCAGCGCCGTTGGTTGACTGTACTTCTGTGACATTGCTCGAACTTTCGCCTTGGCATTGCACGCGCTTCAACTTTGTGCTCTTGCAGCTTTGCGCTCTCTGGCAAGGCCACACAAAAGCCGCAAGTTTGTTGCCATTTCACAAATTTTATTAAGTCGGCAAAAGCTTTTCGCTCTCTCTCTTTCTCTCGCACTCGCACTCGCTCTCTGCCTATCTCTTTCTCGTTTTTTCTGTTGCGCATTTCATTTGGCATTTCGGCCATTTGCTTTGGCGCCTGTTACATTAACAAACCCAAGTGCGTCATCTCTATTGTTGTCGCTATCATTCCCTGTCTCTTCCACTTCCTCCTCCTCCGCAGTGGGCCTACCATTCGCGCCACGCAAATTCAATTTGCATTTAGAATAATACGAGCATTTTCCAGGAAACTGAAAGACGCTCTCCACGTGCGTAAAAAAGGCGCGGGCTTTTCTATAGCATACAACACGGCAGCGCGTGTGTTTGGCATTTGGTTTTTTTTTTTGGAAAGTTACTTGCCACACGCTGCATACGCATGCCCCTCCCCCTTCTGCCAGACTTGCCTAACACGCAATTTGTTAGCCGCCTCGTAAAAGTGCCTTCCAGTTAGCCAGAAAACCAGGCCCAAAATTTATGTGAAACACTTTTGTGAATGAAGTTCGTAGCTCGTTTCCGCGGCGTTAAAAATGCTGGGAATGTACGAGAATGTTGCTCCTGGCGCTCTGCGGCACCTCGGCTAATCAACTCGGCGCAGCGTAGGTCAGAGCTAACGCTTGTTTATGAAGCATTGCTCTTTATGGCCACCCTGGCAGCCATTCCATTAACATTTCCCTGACATGCTGGGCTGTTAGTTTGTTTACCGTAGAACTGAAGAGGTTCAAAAAGTCAGGCAATACGGGAAAATAAACGCCACAATAAATGAAGACTTCTTGACATTCCTGATCACATTTAATCGTAAGCTTATGATTTACCAGGTGGTTAGCATTAAGTTTATCATGTGGTTAAGAATCTTCCTGCTGTTAAAAAGAAAAAAAAAAAACATTTCTATTCTCTTTCTATATATTGCGATGTAAACAGTCTTCGGATGATTTACAATTATCACCTGGTTTATTATCTTGGGTAGCTTGTAAGGCAAAGTTGAATTCCAGTAAATTTCTTAATATCAGTTACAAAATCTTGGATTCGTATCGCACCTCTCATGTCTCTGTCGTATTTACTGCAAAGCAAAGCTGTGCACATTTTAAAAGTATTATCTTTTGGATACTTGAACCTATTATCGATTCAATGTCAAGTGTTTGCCCTGAACTTATGCCTGGCCCGCTTCACAGTTCCACAATTTGCTAGCGTCTTCTTGCAAAAAGTCACCCTTGAAATGTTTTTGGGGGCGCATTTGTCTCCGACTTCGCTTGTCAGCTTCCGGTTCCAGCAACAAAATGCGAAAGCTTCCGGCAGGCAAACGTTTACCCCCGGCCTCTCTGCAGAGCTCACCCCACGCCCAAGCGTAAACTGACGCACTTCCAACACGTGTCTGGGCAACGGTTTGGGTTGGAATAATTTGGAGACGGGGCAGAGTCGTGTTAGGGGCCTTTGACTGTCCGGGGCATTGGCTCGGATGCTTCGTTGGATGCGCAGTTGGAGCTTTGCCTTTTGTTATTGTTGTTGTTTTGGTTTCTGTTTCTGTTTCGGCTTCTGTTTCCCCTGTCATCGCTTGCTAAACTTCAAGGTTAACTTCCTGTTGTCACTGGGCTCCCTTGCGCAACACTGGCCAGCTTGCGCGGGCCTGACCCAAACTAAGACGCCATATTGTTTCTACAGTCATTATGTAATCCGAGTCCTAGTCCGATTGTTGCCTGCGTAGGCGTTTCCGCTTTCCGCTTCGCGGGTTCGTTCAACTCGCTGCCGCTATTTATCTTGCCAAACCCATGCTCGCACCCTGGATCTATATCCCACTCTCCCATACTCTCTCCCGTTTGTATGTATATGCAGCAAGGGTCAATGTACGTCAGCACCGCCACCTGCGTGATATGTTTGAGGTCAATGTCTTGGCTTTGCTCACTTCCGTTCTTAGTTCACATGCCGCATTGTTCTTGCCGCACCCCGCCTACACATTTTTGCTGACGCCAAGAATTACTTTTATTACCAAGCTTGGGTTTTTATTTTATTTTTTTGTTATAGCTATTAAATTGATGAATTGATGTTTGGATTTGGGCTGGAGCTGAAGCTTAATAGATCATTTATTCGCGTGCTCACACATTTTTGACCTTAAACGAAAGTTCCAAGAAAAGGGTGTAGTTGCTAGGGTCATGACCTTTTTACGTACCTTATTTCGGATTTTTAAATAAAATAATTTCGCGCAAATCTGCAATCAACCGACAAACACTAGTGAGGTAGTTTCAATACATAAAATATAATGAAGCTTTCAATTCACATTTAAAATTATCTCAATAATATATTGTGTCCAAATACATCGATTTTCGGGTGGTCAAAAGTGAATACTGCTTAAAATCGATGGAAATCGCTAAAAGATTCCTACCCTATAAAATCGATCATTTTCTAATTTGCATGTCTTTGCAGTTTTAGCAGCTATGTGGACATAGAGAACGTGTGCACGTTACGAAACCCAAGTGGATGAACAATTATTCTTTTGTTCTATGTCTGGAGAGCAGAAAGGCTTTGACATAGACAGGACTATTGATGTAATGGGGCGCTATACCACATCAGGTTGCTCGCTGTGAACGAGGTAAGAAAGTAAGCTTAAGGTCTTTCTGTTCATATTACCTTATCCAACCATTTCAGGCACGTCTTCCAATTATCGCAATTCTATTGTGCAATCGTAATTCATGTGCGGACGACTCTGCTGCTGCCACGCCCTCTACAGGAATCCACACTAAGGTATGTCTTCGCTGAGTATCATTGTTTTGTCAAGGGACATTATTGTATGTCGGTCGCATTTTACCAAACTGTCCTGTGTCAAACGACTCGAATAGGTCTAGTATTTGGCCGAAGGACATCTTCATCACGCTTAGAAAGTAGCTCATATTCTTGTGGATCCAGACGAGTCCTAACTTAAACGACTCGCGTGGACCACGGGTAACAACTGGCCAAGAAGGCAACGAAATTGTCAAGTTTTTCATAAGTGCACATTTAACACAAAATCGGACGCAATTTGGCCATCTCCCTTTCCCGCCAATTTAAAATATACAACAAAAAGGACGATAGTCCGTACAGAAAATAGGACTAAGCTCGAATATATTTTCTGTATCCTGGCGAATCCTGTCGTCCGTGATGTTTTCGATATATGGCTACATCAAAAAGGACTGAATTGGCTATTTCACTCACAAGTCTGATGTCCCTTGGCCAATATGCAGTGCTTGCGTTGCCAACTGAGAATATGTAATTAAAAGGACGAAAGTCCTTTAATGAGCTGAGAAAAGAGATATTTGTCTGTAAAGAACTAATGCTGTTGATCGGCAATATCCTTGCGTGTCCTAACGAGTCCTGTGTCCAACAACTTTATGGACAATGGCTATAATCTGTCCAAAGCACATAAATATCGTCCTTATAGTTTCCATGAAATTCCTATTTTTTAAAAGGACGTTAATAACCAAATCGGCCATAAATTGGCAACCTTACGTAACATTTTGATGTCCTTTGGCCAACATGTAATCCTTGCCCTACCAACTTAGATTGTGTAATAAAAAGGACGAAAGTCCTTCAAGGAGCTGACGAAATTAGATTTTTGTCTGTAAAGAAAGAAGGCTGTAGATTGGCCGTATCATTACGGATCATGATGTCTTTTGACCAACCGATACTCCTTATCCTCCCGATTCAGAATATACAATGCAAAGGACGAAGGTCCTTCAGACAGCCTAGATTTGCGCACAATTCTTTCGTAAATGAAAAAAGCCATAACTCGGCTGTATCCTTGCGGATCCTGACAATTATTATGTCCAAAAAATTGTATGAAAATGGACCATAAACTAGCCAAAGGACATCAAAATCGTCCTTGTAGTTTCCGATTTATGGCCAATTTTCTAAAAAGGAAATTTTTTAAATGGCCATAACTCGGTCAAATCCCTAAGGATATCGGAAGGATATGCCTTTTTGAACTCGTGGGAGGCGAGACTATCGATTGGCATTCAAGGATTTTAAGGATTCGACAAAAAATTTCACCAAAATTTTTCCTAGGGGTTTAGTCATAAAATTGGCCAAAATCGAAAATATCCGGGCTAACTTCGCCATTTGAAGGACTATCGGGATGTCCTTTGGCCAGCAGATAGTTCTCAACCTCCCATTAAAGAATTAACAACCCAAAGGACGAAAGTCCTTCAGACAAAAAAGTTTTAAGGACAATTTTGTAAACAAAAAATAGGCTATAGCTCGGCAGTATCCTTGCGTATCCTGGCGAGTCATATGCCAAAATAATTGTATTAATTATGACTACCGCCTGGCCAAATTTCATTAGGATCGTCCTTGTAGTTTGGGAGATATTCAAGGATATGTGTTTTCAGCCCATTTCCGTGCGCTCCGCGACTGAAATTTTACAAGTGAAAGTACAAGTCCTATGATTCTTAGATGACCCCATATTTTTTTGATGCAGATCGATGCAGTGGGTCTATACGATCCTAACGCACCATGTCCTTTGAAAATCTGCAAGGATATGACCGAGTTATGTCCTTTTTTCTTTACAAAAAATGCTTTTATATATTTTTTGCCTTGTTTAATTTAAATGTGTTTTTATGTTTTCAGGTTGACAAATTAAGGACCACAATTAATTCCAAGGACCTCCACGAGTAACAAAGCAATTTTTTCCAGGATCAGACTTAAATTAGTCCAGATATAGCTATATATAAGCTCAATTTATAATTTATGCATGTTTTGTATAATTTTATGAGAAATAATTAAGAGCATTAGTATGGAAAACAGCAATTTTGTATATACCCACATAAATAAATCAATTATTTAAAAAAAAAGAATAAAACAACTGTTTTTTTTATTAATCAATTCAAAAATCAACGGAAATTGGAAATCCATTGCATACCGCTGGCGCTGGAGCTCTGTTGTTTTGGAACGTCATATCTCCATCGGCAACCGCTGACGCTGGAGTTATGTCGTTTTGGAGCGTCATATCTCCATTGGCAACCGCTGGCGCTGGAGTTATGTCGTTTTGGAACGTCATATCTCCATTGGCAACCGCTGGCGCTGGAGTTATGTCGTTTTGGAACGTCATATTTCCATTGGCAACCGCTGGCGCTGGAGTTCTGTCGTTTTGGAACGTCATAGCCGGATATAGTTATTTTAAGTTTAAATAAGCAATAATTATAATTTATGCTCGATTTGTATAATTTAAAGAGAAATAATTAAGAAAATTTGCATAAAAACAACAATTTTATAAATTTAAGCATAAATAAATAAATTATTTAAAATAAAAAGGACAAATTCCTGTTTTTTATTAAAAAATTAACGGTTTTAAGAAATCCATTGCATACCCGCCAGGGGCGTCCGTTGGCAACCGCTGGCTGCCGAGATTTTTCTTAAAATCTGCCAAAATACCAGGCGAACAGAAATGACGAGAAGGTCGACAACAAATATTTTTAGCTGCCGAAAAAATTTCGTTGCATACCCAAAAGGGCGCCCTCGTCGCCGGCTGGGTCCCCAAATTTTAGCTAAAATTTCCCAAAAACACCAGGCGAACATAAATGCCCAGAAGGTCGACTAAAAATAATTTTGCTGCCGAAAAATGACGTAGTAAAAAGGGCACCGTCGTCGCTGGTCCCAAATTTGCACTAAAATTTCACTCAAGTACCAGGCGAACAGAAATGCCCAGAAGGTCGACGAGTTCTTCGAACAAAAATTTTCATTGCATAGCCTTAAGGGGCAAAAATGTAACTCATTTAAAATGAGTAATGTTAAATAGCAGTTGATGTAAAAGGAGTGCTGTAAGGCGGCTGTTAAACAGTAGCTGCAGTTGCAGCTAAGTAAAAGGGCTGCTGAAAGAAAAAGCATTCATGTTTTTGGAACATTTCACTGCGCATTTTGCAGGGATCTGATCCTTTAGGTTCCCAAGGACTATATCGATGGTATGGTATAACCAAGGATATGGTAGTCAACTAGGAACCATCCAGAAGGCGGGGCAGTTGCTGGGGCGGCTGTAAAAGGAAAGAATACATATTTTTGGACCATGTTCTTGCTCAATTTGCAAGAACTTGGTCATTTAGGCTCGCTAGGACTATATCCTTGGAATGGAATAACCTAGGATACATTTGTCAACTAGGTACCAACAATAGTGATTATTTACTGATCGTCGGCAAACTATAAAATGCAAATTCTTAAATTGTTCCTCCATGGAAATAACTCCGGAATTATGTCTTTTCTAAACCTCGTATCTCCGTGCGTAATTAATTAAAGCAACATAATCCGCCGTAGGAAACTGGATGTGCTGTTTTTGGATCGTTGACCTCCACGAGATTATGGTATTTTAAAGCCACGTAATCCGGCCGATCTTGAAACGACATAATTATCAGTTGATTATATGTTGTCCATGCTGAAAAATACAAAATGAAAACTATATAAGTTTGTGTAAACTAAAACACATCGATTAAAATATGTTTGACTTTGAAAAGACTTGCCTTTTTGGATTCGTGGAAGCCCTTAAAATCGACAAAACAACCAAAAAATCAGTGTTTGGTAATAAATTAACATTTTTTAAAATGTCTATTCATTGTAAGGATCAACCAAGAATACTGAATATTTTACTCTCCATGGACGTGGCAGAATTGGCTGAAAGATAGCATGAAAAACGAATAAGTATTTGTAAGCTTGTAAACAATAAACATGTTTATTATAATAACAATGTAACCATTACCATTTTGCTCAAAATTTAGAAAGAGCATTTCCTGAATGTGGTATGAAATAACAAAGGTCATCTAGGTGACAACGATATTGAATGTTTTCTTGTCCATGACATTTTTAGCTGTAAAATACAAAATGAATTAGTATTTTGTAGAAAATTATTTGTCCCCTCTGCGCTGGCGCGATTAAATTGTGTGTCCGTTTAACTGCAGTAGTTAATTGCTCATTGATGCAAGCTGGGGAAGCACACAATATATTTTATTTAAACATTAAAAATAATAGTTGTTGTTTGTGCGTTTCCACAAAGGTATATCATTCGAAAATAGTACCGCACTTGCCCTTACTCATATGTTAATAGCTTTAATAGACTATAGCTCGCAACATAGCAACAAGCCCAATTGACTAATAAGGCCCCACTAACACAGAATAAAGTCACTCAAGTACATAAAATTGGCGCTCAGAAAATAAAGCAGGCGAACGACCAGATGAGAACTTTAGTGCACGCAATTATTGATTGGACCAATCAGCGATCAGCACCAAAAAGAGTCGTGAGTGCATGAGCTTAGGAAGATAAATCACAGCGAACAGACACACAAACAGGTGACTGCCTGCTTATCTCTGGCTTTGGCGCATCTCTGCGCATACACGTGTTTGTGTGGGTGTGTATGCTTGCCAATGTGTCGCATCGCTCTCACTCGAATTTTGATCGCTTGCTTATTTTCTGTGCGCCGGTTTTTTCGTCCACTTAAGGCACTCAAAATTTAACACTCTGTTAGCTCGACCACAGTAGTCAATATGAACGGCGTTTTTATTTTTAATTCTTATTAGTTTAGTAATTAGAACATTCTATTATTCATCGTTTTTATGAATGGCCTTAGCAATTTGTTGAAGCAAAAATGCAACTAAATTAAAAGAAAGCTTGGCTTTTAATAAAGTAAACGTAGAGTTTTAACCGCCAATAATCAAATTAAAAGGCGATTTATGCTGATGAATGTTCAATGGAACCAAAACAAAAAGAGAGTTACAGTTCTTGTTTCCAGCACCCTTGCGCACACATATTATATACATACTTACATATTTTCATACATATATGTGCATACATACATATATGCAATACAGTTTCTCGGCGCACAGAAATTAGAGCAAGCAAGTGATCTCAAGATGAATTCTTCTTTGAAGCGATAAGCAAAAACAAAAACTCGTAGATAACGCATAAGCAACCACACATAAGCATAAAAAGATATACCTCAGAAAATACACACCCAAACATATGTATGCATAGAGAATCGCTAGATATGTACATGCATATGTGTATATGACTGCTAGTGTGTATCTACTTATGCATATGGCTTCACAAATATTGTCTATTCAAAACGAGGCTTGCTCTGTTTTCTGTGCGCCGATCTTTACTGTCTACTTTATGCTCGCCCATATTAGTTCTGTTTGTAGCCTGAAGTTGTGAATTGTTGCTGGGTGAAATGTTAAGGTCGGCTCATTACTAACCAGATTTAATTATGATACATTGTGAATTGAAATTTATTTATGTAAGCATACGTTTGTATGTATATTATTCGGTGGGTCGGATCAACTCTTATAAACATTTACCAAATTTGACAAAAATCGCGGTTCTGACAAACATTGTAAAGTTTGACTTAAGAAATTAAACCATTCTAAAATCAAAAATTAGAGTCCCGAAATAATAAAGAAATTACACAAAATAAAGAAAGACACAAATCGTAATCTATATGAGCATGAATAGGAAGATTTGACCTACTTTTCGAAAATAATTCTGTTTTTTAATTAAGTAACAAGCTTTAGTGTCATTCTGATGAAAAATTTATTCCGTGAATAATCATTATAACTGAATAATATTATCACTTTGACTACATGTAGATATTTCTCACGCTTCGCATAGCGATAACATCTACATAGTTTTTACTTTTGGATGAACCGAAAACTCATACAGAATTCTCGGAAAATCGCGAGAACATGCACCGCCTGCTTTTGAGATACATTTATGTACCCTGAACCCATTGAAAATGGATAAAAGGGTATAATGTGTTTGAGCAAGTGTATGTAACATGCAGAAGCATCTTCGAGATTATAAGGTACATATGCACATATATGCTCCGCATTATTAGCCGAGTCGATCTAGCCATGTCCGACTGTCTGTCTGTCTCTCCGTCGATCTCAGAACTTATAAGAGCTGGGTACTTGACCTGTCTCTCGAAAAAATCTCTTTGTATTGAGTCATTAACTTTGACATGTAGCTTCTAGATCTGGTATATATATGGATCACATTCAGGGTATCCCCTAGTCGGGCACGTCTGACTAGAGTACTCAAACTTGTTTTATTTGTTTCTGTTCTTGAAGTCTGCAGTGTTATGCTATATAAGCAAGATTTTTTTTTGTCACAAAGCGCAAACGTTTTTCATAAATATTTCCTATGTAACTCGTTGTCAGCCTTTGGGAAGTTCAGTTGCTTGTGCCGATTTCAAGGTTTCAGCAATTATTCAATACACCCCCCGCTATCCCCCATTATCCTCCTCTCCCCCACCTCCAGTGCCTGCTCCTAACTCGCAAATGTGCCAACATCAACGGGTTTCGGTGTCGCTGCGCTGTTTCCTGGAACGGACCTCAGCTGAAATGTAAACAGAACTACGAAAATATAGCGCACAGTTTTCACGCTTTCATTGCATGACGACGATTCAAGTTCGGCGAAATGCTGGCTATAGTGAAATATCGGGGGTACCGGGGGCTACGGGCTCGGCCAATGACCAATGTCCGTTCGTCGTGGTCGAGACAATTGCGACGTTGATGACGCACTCAAAACTGCTGAGACTCGCACTAGGCACTCGCGGGCAGCGTGAATGACCCGCGGCCGGAAAGTGCCTGCTATGGTAAGGGGGAGGGGGGAAGGTGGTCACGGGGCTGTAACGCAGTCTTAACACAATAAAAATTGTGTTGGAGAGGTGCAGGGGATAAGCCAGGCATATGGTAATTGATTGCGCGGTGACTTTGGCAACGCTTGGCTAGACTGCGACAGAAAACACACCA